CGAGGGCGTCAGGTCCCAGCCCATGTCGCTCTTCTCGAAGCCGGCGATGAAGTTGGCGCGCATCACGAGCCCGAGAGGCAGCTTGAGGAAGAGGTCCGACGGGCTCGGCGGCGCGTCCGACTCGGACGCGACCCCCCAGGAGACGAGAGAGCGGTAGTAGTGGTTGACGCCGAGCAGGTCGACGCTGCCCTCGAGGGAGCGGAGGTCGTCGCGCCAGCCGCACGCGCACGCCAAGGTGTCGAAGGGGAGCGGGAAGTTGGGGAAGCGGCCGGTGACGAGCGCGTCAGGGATTCAGTATTATGAGATGATATTGACAAGGAGAGGGGAGGCGCACCAGCGGCGGCGGCGGCGGCGGCGGCGGCGAACCGTCGGCTGCGCGGGCGGCAGCGACCGTAGCGAATGCTGCAGACACGGTGAGCAGCTGCAGCGTGGCGCGCAAGTCGGCGTCGAGCTGTGTGGCGGCCGGCGCCGCGTCGGCGCCGCCCCACCAACTCGTCTCTCCGCTCTCTGCGACGGCTGCAGCCGCGGGGGAGCGGGGCGAAGCGAGCGAGAGCATGTCGTACATGTCAGCGGTCGCGTCCAGCGTGCAGCGCAGCAGCGGCTCCGCGGCGCCCTCCGGCGGCTCACTCACCCAAAAGGCCTCCCGAGGCGCCTCCTCCCCCGCCGCCTCCTCGTCCACCGATGGCACGTCAGCGGCGGGCTCCTCCGAGGGCGGCTCCTCCGAAGGCGGCTCAGGGAGCCCCGACGCGCCGGGTGTCGCAGGCCGCTCGCCGTCGCTCGGGGAGGCGGCGGCGACGCCGCCGTCCGCCTCCACGGCCCGTGCCGACGGACTGCTGGCCGTGGCGACCCCAGGCGAAGAAGAGACCTCCGAGCTGTCGACCTCCATCACCTCTGGCGGCGCGTCGCCGTCGATCACGCTGCCCTCGACGACGCGCTACAGTGTCAGGCGGCGAAAGTCAGCGCTCTCCTCTCCACTACTCGCCTACCGCTGCGGACGTGTGTGAAAGCGCCGGTGACTCGTCCTCGTCGTCGTCGACGCACCGCTTCCGAAGCCGGAGCCGCTTCCCCCTTGCGCGCACTCTGGCCATGGCCGCCTCTTCGTCCTCCTCCTCCGGCCCCGCCTCCTCTCGGCCCGCCTCCGCGCCGCCCGCCTCCGGCTCCGATGCTCCGGGCTGCAGTCCTGCCGGCCGCACCTCGCCGAAGCAGAGCTCGTTGACGAGGGGCGCCACCGCCACCGTGGCCGCGCCCTCCGCCACCGCGACCGCCACCGGGGCCGCGCCCTCCGCTGCGAGCAGCACTCCGCCAAGGGCCGCGTCGAGGAGACGCAGAGGGTGCTCGAGCAGCGGCGAGCGGCCGAGCAGCTCGACGCATCCGACCAACGCCCCGACCTGCAGCTGAAGCAGAGACGCCGCCAGCGATCCCGCCGCGTCGCCCTCCGCATCGCCGCCGCCGCCCTCGCGCTGCGCAGCGACGCGCAACGCCGTCGCGCGCAGCACGGCGTCGGCGAGCGGCGCGCCGCAACACGCAGACTCGAGCCCGAGAACGCGCTCGACGCGCGGCGCGCCGGCGTCGTCGGCCCAGCACTGCAGCGTGGTCACCGTGCGCCGGACGTCGCCGCCAAAGTGATCGACCAGCTCCAGCAAGCTCCTGCTGCTGCTCGGCGGCACCTCGGCCGCCGGGGCCGCCGGGGGCGCGCCCCGCAGGCAGAGGGCGGCGGCGAGGGGCAGCAGCTGGGCCGACGACGGCCGCTCCCACCGGAGGCGCGGCGAGCTGCCCAGCAGCGCCTCGAGCTCGGCCGAGAGCTCGTTGCATGTCGCAACCATCGGGCACTTGCTCTCGCGCGCGAGCCGGCGCAGTGCGGCGTAGAAGCCGGCGTCGTCCTCGAAGACCACGTCTACCTCCTCGAAGAGGACGAGCGTCACAACACCCTCGCCGCACCGCGCCTGCGCGGCCGCCTCGCCCCGCTTCCCCTCGGCGTCGGCCTTCTTCTTCTTCTTCTGCCTCCCCAGCAGAGGCTCCGCCGCGGCAGCCGCCGGGGCAGCCGGTGCCGCGGCCGGACCCTTCTTCGCAAAGAAGGCTCCGATCCCACCCTTGGCAGCGGCACCGCCCTTGGCCGGCGGCTGCGCAGCGGCGCCCCCCTTCTGCGACTTCGGCTTCGGCTTGCGGTCGCCGCCGCCGCTGCCCCCCAGCAAGGGTGCAGCGTCCCCCGTGGCCGATGTCGCGCCCGACCACGTGGAGAGCTCGCGCGACTGCGTCGCCTCTGCAAACTTGGAGAGGACGAGCCGGCCCGACCGGACGCTCGACGGATTCACCTCGATGACCTGCGCGCGCGCGGGCGGGGGGGGGGGGGGGGGAGTCTTGCCTCATTGGCGAACGGAAGAACCCGGGGGGGGGGGGGGGGGAACAAATATCCCCCTCTGTGGCAGGCTCCCCCAGCAGACCAATATACGGGGGGGGTTTTTTTTCGGGGGCCGCTCGGCCCCTCAAAAACAAAAGAGGTCCCCCTCCCGGGGGGTTTGCCCCCCATTATTCCCCTTGGGGGCTCTTCCCCCTGAAAAAAAAAAAAAAA